TAGCTGTTAGCATGCTATCAGACTGAGACTGAGATGGTGAACATTCTAACACATGCTAACACATGCTAAACATCGTTATTTTGAGCTTGTTAGCATTTAGCTCAGTGTTGTGGTAACTCCTTCATTCACTGTGTAGTATAACACACTCCAGCAGGGTTCGTTTAGTCATTTAACAAAATCTTCAAAGAATCCAGCAAAAACTAACATGTGAGAAAAAATGGTTTAATTGTGGAGACATCCTGACAGCATCCTGGTAGGACGGAGCTCCAGCCTGGAAACACATGGACGAGTTCCTCAGCAGCACTCTGAGACAGGATGCTCCTGATTTTGGCGACATTGTGCAGGTGAAAGAAGGCCGTCCTGTGTTTTATATGTGTGCTGAAGGACATGTCCTGGTCAACAATACCTCTTAGGTTCCTTACAGTAGAACTGGAGGCCAAGGCGATGCCATCCAGAGGAGCTATCTGTTTACGAGGAGTCCACTATATGCTGTAATTCTCTACTTTTAGGAGCACAGTAGGCCTAAAACGATCCCTGTTGATGGAGCTCATAGTTAGCTGAGGCGACCCTGAGGCCCTCTGGTGTGGACTGCCGGGCCTGAGCACCTCTCTGCTGCTCGCCTTCACTCCCCATACGTTTATAATCCGGTGCACACCTTCACCTCTGGGTCTTCTCTCTGCAGGTCGGTTGTGGTCTCACCAATCTGTCTACAGTTTTTTGTTCTCTTGTGCGTTGGCTGTTGGTTTCCTCGCTGCTATCCTTTCCACCGTCCATTCAGGCTCACGTTAGCTGGTGGAGGCAGTTCACCCACCCTGAGCCTGGTTCTGTCCCAGGTGTCTTTCTCTTAGGTTCTGAATTGGTGCTGTACAGTTAAAACTGAATTAAACTGAAGCAAGTTATACGTACCTGGCAAGAAACAAAGTCCTCACAAACCATCTTAAAACTGTATATTCACTCGTATTGGACCATGTTCTGTACGTTCTATTAAAAGAGTAAATCTTGACAATGGACTCTTAGTGGATGAGTCCAGATCTGTGAGAGGACGGGATGTGAATCCTGACTGTGGCTCCCAGCTACCAGCTGCTGGCCCAGGATCACATGAAACTCTCTGTAAACACTGTCAGCACTGAGAGCTGTCTCTACGAGCAGCTGAATCCACCTGGCACACAAGATAAAAGACTGACTTTACATTCATTAAGCATCAGGTATGAATCATTATAAAGTGTTTCTGTTCTCAGGTCTGGCTGCTGTGAACTCGTTCTGCTAATGAACAGCAGTGCTGTCAGGAGACAGAAGCTAAACAATACCCAGAGTCATGGTGCTGAGGAGACACTGCGTTCCAGGAGAGGATCCACCACACACAGACTAATTGGTGTCAAGTTTAATCAGCGGCTCCATCCTTGACACCATATAGTGCTTCTGAGTTGGTGACACTATAAGACACACTCGCTCAGTGTCTCTCTGCTTTATCCCACGGCTGCCTGGCAACCAGCCTCCTCTGACACATGGCACACGCTGTACATCCCGTCTCCCAGAGGCGCTGTGCACACGGCACGATATAAAAGTTTTAGAGAATCAATGTTATTCATTCTGTTTAATCAAAATAAACATTTGTTTAAGTACGATGCATGTTTTAAATGATGCTGTGAGGAAGGGACGGCCTGCTGCTGATCCAGTACGTCTGCTCAGAGATGCTCACAGCCCCTCACAGGAAACCAGAGCTCTGCTGAACCCAGCACATACTAATGGGAGTGAAGTGATGGAAAGACAGAAACGCAGTGTGCTGCTGTTTTCTGCAGCTAAGCATCCGATTACAGTGCAAGCCGTGCAGTCAGTGTGAGTCCAAGTGGCTGCTCTCCACTCAGGCCTTCTGTCCTGATGTAAACCTGCTCACATCAGAGCTGAGACTTCACTTTAAGTACACAGTGTTTGACTTTAAATATGAATGAATGAAGCACAGAGCCTGAGGAACAGCTCCTGAAGCTGTCTGAATGCTCTTCTGCTCCGTTAGAGCCCATCTACAGTGTGCCGGCTTCATTTGTTGTTGTAACAGACTCACTCCTCATACGTGATGTTTTCTTCTCCAAAATAATCTATGCAGGTGTAGAAATGCCAGGACCACCGTTTCCTGAAAGGAAATCTACTGAAACTTTGAGCCTGCTGATCCAACCTCCACATGGACGGACTGCTGCTTCCATCTAGTGGTGAGCTGTGGTGGTGCTGCTCTCCTGGTTTATACAACATGGTTTGACTTCATTGATTGTTAGAATGAACCTAAGGAGGCCACACTCAGCGAGCCCTGATGACAGAAACAGGCAGCAGGATGATAGTAATGATCGTGTCATTAGCAGCTAAACCGTCTCTCCTAATCGTAATCAGCTATTCATGCTGTGGGAAATGTAATGAACCATGAAGTCTTTCTCAAGTTTAAATCCTTGTATTGTTTTTGGTGTTGTTGTTCGTGCAGCTCCTATGCAGGCTTTGCAGACATGGACTGCTTCAGATGGCAGAGCTAAATGTTCGTTATCTTCTTTAGAAATGTCATCACTTCAGAGCAGCTGCCTTCAGACGCTGGCTGCTACAGGACTCTCTCTCCAGTCTCCTCACCAGCAGGTAAAGTGCTTGTAGGGTTTAGATGTGCTGACTGGACCAGTCTGATGCCTTCCAGCTTCTGTCCTCGATCAAAGCTCTGACTGTCGGTGTGTTTGGGCTCATTGTGTTGTTGCAGGATGAAGGTTCAGAGAGACAAAGTGTGTCTGCTGCTGCCTCATCTGCTCCATCAGCACTAAATACAGACAGAATGCATACAGACCTGGTCCTGGCCTTCCCTTCTGGTTCAGATCACGGCCACTTCCTGTGTTTTAAAAACACATGATTTCTTGTTTGTGGCTTTAAAAGTGTCAGTGGGTCAGAAATCTGTCAAAAACATCATCAGGTTCACCAGCAAAGGTTTTCATAGTCTTTCAAATTGATAATCAAGATCAAATATGATATATACATGTGTATATATATATATATATATATATATATATATAATCGATTATCCTGACAGCTACACATGTAAATGGACCACAGAAATAATGATCAAGGACACGTACTTTGGTAGATCCCACCAGCCAGTCATCAGATGGCCTTCAGTGGTGACAAGCTGAGTCGTGCAACCGTATCTGGGAGCCCATGGTGCTGCTGGTACACTGGGTCCAGTCCATTAGAGAGATGCTAGTAGTTCAGCTACCTTTGAATCTGTCCAAACAGAACCAGTGTGTCATTCTTCTGTAGCAGACTAAAGAAGGAGCTACAACAACATCTCTGCTTCTGAAAATGTATCCAGAACCTGACACATACGAGGTGGGTCAGAAAAGCTCCAGGACTGGTGTCACAAACCCAAACTACCAACCACGAGTTTCCTCTTCAGACCATCAACCAGCTCGTCTACAGAGGTCTTGCAGCGTTTGCTTCATCCAGAAGAGGCAGAGCTGAGGCAGGACCAGTGGAGGCTGCGTCACCATGACAACCTGCTCACAGCGCCCTGAGCATCCCACAGGTCCTGCTGAGAAGAACATCTCCTCCCTACTCACCCCACCTGGCTCCGTGGGGTTGGTTCCTCTTCCCCAAGCTCAGGGGCTCATCAAGGAGACCCGTTTAGAAGACGTGGACGACATCAAGATGTCTGTGAGGACAGAGCTGAGAGGATCCTGAAGAATCCTGTTAGAGTTAGAGTCGTCCAGTGTTTTTCATTTCAACCGGTCGGGTCTGTTGTCCTTAGTTGATGAATCCCTTTCCTCTGGGCAGTGGTCCAGTCTCTGTTACTCTCAGGACCAAACTTTGTAAATTGTGTTGGCCATAGAGTTCAAAACATGTGTTCAAGACACTCGTGGCATTGCTGCTGTTCATCATGTAAATGTGTTGCTTTATTCTGAAAATGATCTCCTCTCTGCTCTCCCCCACGTACAGGTTTTGGCAGGCCTACAGGTGAAGGCTACAAGGCCCTGGGATTAAAATCAAGTTTAGTGTCACGGTTAAAAATGTGGGGAGACGAATAAAACCAATGTCCGAGCCCCAGAGTGCTTCCCTATTCCTATTCCCTATTCACATCTCTCTTTAAATCTGAGTGCACGAGAAGCTCCTTCAGGTTTTTCTTTCTGCACAATGTGGAGATCAGCCGTCAGTCCCCCCTCGGCCCTCACCGTAGTCTGGAGAGTTGATAAAAGTGTTCTTGGGCTCTCAGCTCACGTTGTTACCATGGAGACCAGAGTGGGGCTGGACGGCCCAGTGGTGGTGTTGGTATCATCTCTGTTATTAAAACCATGGCTGACCTCCGCCTTAGTACTTCTAAGGAGGCGCTCTGAGGATCCCCTGGGTCTCAGTGCACTGAAAAGGCTTCCGGTCGCCTCCTCCACATGGGGACGCGTATCAGCTGGGACTCGATCAGACCTCTGGACCTGAGCCTCGGTGATACCTGGTCTCATGGAGGAGTGCATGTGGTCCGTGTCCGTGAACTAGACTTTGGTTGCCAGTGTTTCTTTTGTTAGGGTCGGGGTTTGGACTAGTCTGGATCAGTCACTGGATGTCTTACCAAGTCTAGTTGTGCAGACTTGGTGTGTATGAACGTGTATTCCTCATGTCGGTGGAACACGTACCTGGATACCAACAGGGCACGAGCAAGTCCCCATAATGCAATTATTCAGTGTTTAGTATGAAGTCCTGATGAATGTCAGGTTAGCTTTGGGTTAACCTGTGGAGACATGTTGTGGTTAGGTTAGGGCTGTGGTTGGTGGTATGGTGTTGTAGGTCAGTGTAACGTCCTCTGAAGAGATGGAAGTGTGTGTAAGTGTGTGTGTACGCTGCCCGTCCTCCTAATGAAATGTGACTTGTGTTTATAGAGAAGATGCAAAGCGAGAGCGGCTGAAGGAGGAGGAGGCATGAGCACTGGGACTCTGAACTGCACAGAGGTGTTCTGTGTTCTGCTTCTAGTCTGGATCGACCTGATGTTGCTCTCTTGTGTTAGTGGTCCATGATGGTGAGTACAGCGTTTTCCTAGTTTCTGTAATAGTCCAGAGAACTTTTACTGATGGTTGAGAGCTCTGCATGTAAAGCTGTGGAGCAGAAAGAGTCCTTCAGCCTCGTGTTTGTGTCACAGCTGCTGCTTCAGAGGATTCAAGGCCTTGATTTATTACATCATAACATACTGTCATGAAGAAAGGTGTTGATATTATCATTATTATTCGCAAATCTGCTGTTGATGTGTTTTTTACAATCCACCCTGAAGTTTCTCCATCAAGTGGTTTGATGAGGAGTGTTGTCACGGTTACACGTTCTCCTGGTAAAGCTGAGTTAACATATTATTGCTAAAGTACTGAGCTTGGAAATATGGTGGTGGGAAGTCAGATGCCCACTTTGGTGTGTGTACGGATGTTTTTGTTGAGCAGTGTATTATCTAATCCACTCGCCCCACCCTGAGGCAAGGCCATTCAAACAGCATGCAAATGGTGGTGGAGGAAACCATGGCAACAGCAAAATACCTGCATGCTTCGGCCTGCTCCTCCTCCATCACCCCAACAACAAACAGTTTTAAGAGCAACCTGACGATGTTCAGCGCTATAAGATGACATGTTGTGAACTGTGCTGTATAAACAAACTGAACGTGGTCCTGTGCTGCCCTGCTCTCATGTAAGAGCCAATCACACGACACTCCACCACTTGGTCTTAAATGACAGCGTTGGTCGGTCACCTGGGTGGACAAACTTCTTTTATTTATTTTACAAAAACGGCATGAGCATGAAAAACAAGGCAGCACACTGTTATGGGCAGTACAGTGAGACAGCACTGTTCCTGATACTGTTCAGCATCAGACGGAGTCCTGAAGAACTCCCTCTATAGTAAAACGAGAGCCGGAGGAGCAGGACTGTCCTAATAAGGCCTGAGAAGCACCGACACCAGACCTGTGCAGGATGTACTGACGTTCAACCAGCCTGCTGCTGTCCTGATGTTTACCGCTCAGCTCTACATGCCCCGTCTGCTTCCTCGTCTGGATAACACCATGTTTTCTTCTCTGCAGCCTCTTTATACGGTGAACAGGGAGTGACGACGGTGGAGAAGTTTCCGTGGTAAGGACGTCTTTCTTGTTCTTGTTCTTCCTGTCAGATGTACAGAGACACACAGCAGGCAGCGCACAGTGAATGTATTCTAACACAACGGATACAGATGAGTGACAAATTAAAAGAAAAGAGGATTTTTTAGTGAGGAGTGCAGCCAGAGAAGCTTCAGTTCACCAAACTCTACCACAGAACACAGCCGTGGTGTCCCGCCTCCTTCAGCAGCAGGTGGTCATAATGAAGACCAATGAGACATTAAGACGTTTATGACGGTAAAAGCACGACTACAGAAAACGATGCAGGTCAGGAGTGCTGGTAGAAGACGTGTTGGCCTCTAGACTCTGTGGCCGTTCACACAGAAGGAGGCTTTGAATGCATCATGTGAGTTCTCTGCTACAGAAAACACACCAATCATGTGCTGCCTTCTTCTCCAGTAGGTTCTTCCAGTTGGGTCGTAGGTTCACATCTGACTGCATAGTTTGATGTAATTTTTGTGCACATGTGTGACATGAAGTAAACCGTGTCTCATCTTGGGTCTTCGGTGTTAAACATTTGTAACGAGGGGTCGGTTTGTGTTGCTGATGTCACGACCAGATGCTTCAGGTCTTCACAGCTCGACAGGTTTCTGTCCTCTGCTGCTGCTGTTGGCCTCAGTCTACCTGTTCAGCGTCTGAGTACACCAGCTGTTTGTTTCTTCTTCACATCATTCCAGATGGTTGTTCTGGCTATGGCCAATGTTTGTGCAGTGATGTTCCATCTCCTCTCAGCTTCACGTGGCTGGTTTCCCCCACAGACAGCTCTCTGGTTACCATGGTGGTTACACCTGTAACTGGAAAGGCAGTCTGCACAGGAAAACCCAAACCTGAAGCTGGATGTAGATATCAGAGCTGTTTGTTGTTTGAATAATGGATGTGGTAGGACACACGGGTCAGTCACATGTTCCAGTTCTTCTGGAGGAGCTCATGTATGTTGACTTAATGCACAGCAGTGACACATTGGGTTCTGAACGCTGCCCGTCGCCCTTCTCCTGTCACAGGGGGATGGATATGCAAAACCTGTGGAACGATGACCCGGAGGAGATTCTCTTTGACCTGGGCTTCGGATGTGATGAACCCGACCTCTCTGGCCGTATTCCCAGTCGGTTCATTAACTACCAGTCTCAGGCGAGAGGAATAAATCTGCAGGTGTTTCTGGAGGCCCAGAAGAGCCGCCTGGACCTGGAGAACCCAGATGTTAGCAGTAAGTCTACATGTTAGCACCGTGACCAGCGGTGTACGTCTGCTGCTCAGCATCCTCAACAAGTGAAATGTCACATGACTGTTACGTGTTCAGTGTGCCATGACATCACATCACTAATATCACCTCTGTCCAGCTGTTTTTACTGTTTTGGAACCTGGCTACAGGATTTATTTCTTATTCAGCAACAAAAACATCTGTGGTAGCAACGTAAAGCAGCGATATGGGAGACAGGGTCTGGTTCTGTTAACCCCAGAGGGATCGGAGGAGGTTGAGGTTAGTCTCTGCAGACTAGTCAGCAAAGTGCCAAAACCATTTCTTTTGGAGCTGATTTTGTGGTCAAACACAAACGACTGACTGAAATCCTTACCGTCTAAAACACCGCGGTGAAGACTGGGTTCAGTTCATGACATCTAAGGAGTCACAACCAGTGAAGACCAGATCCTGTCACAGCCTCCACATCCAGCGTGGTGCAGCGGCAGTCCTCCTCCTCCTCCTTTTACCCACAAGAGACCGGATTAGTACAGGTGAGCAGGTGAGCAGGTGAACAGGTAAACAGGTAAACAGGTAAACAGGTAAACAGGTAAACAGGTGAGCAGGTAAACAGGTAAACAGGTAAACAGGTGAACAGAGCCAGGTTCAGCTAACTGTGAGTAGTTCACCATCAAGCTGTGGTCTGAAGCTCTGAAGCTGACTTTTATAGACAGAGGAGGTGAGTGATTCACTGACGACCACACCTGCTGCAGGTGGAGGCCCTCAGGTAATCAGCTGATTCTCTACACCTGTCCACACCTCACTCAGCCACGCCCACCAGGGACAGGAAAGGGAGAGAGAGGGGAAGGAGGAGAGGCTGCCACTAGGCAGGGTCACAGGTGGAGGCCATGACACCACCTGTCAGTCCAAGTCCTCCAGAACACACCAGGGATCAGCAGAGTTCTGACTGAAATGTCTGAGATGTCATGTCTGCGTACATGTGGGCTGATGGGGGCGCTACGGTGGTGCTGCAGTGTTGATACAGAGTCATGGCTTCAGACATGCCAGCCAGGCCTTGGTGTCAGTGCTGACTAGTGTAGGTATCACTACGGTCACTGTTACTGATTCTTCCTTGGTTCTCTCTCTTCCACTCCCATCCAGATCGGTTTAGACAGCTCGAGGTCCTCCAGCAGGTAACTATAGCATTCTCTTGCTTGGTGGGATCTTCCTCCTCTCCTCTCAAAGCCCTACCAGAGAGAGACTCGAGTCCTGAGGCCCAGGAGAGAAGGAGGCGCATGGGCAGTCTGTTCAGGCGAGCATCCAAGAAGTCTCTGAGCCAAATCTACAACCAGAAAAATACGTCTGAGTCACTGCTACCCACACCTAGTCTGACAGACAAACAGGTCTCATTTAAAGGAGCTAGACCTGGACCTCTGGAGACTACGTGTCTCAGTCCTGTGGCAGAGGAAGGAGGAGCTGATCTAGACCCTCAGCCTCATGTGGCTTCTTTTACAGTGCAGGACAGAGCACTCAGACCTGCACCTCTGAGGGAAGGTCCTCCCCCTGCAGCCAGCAGCTTTGGACCAAGAAAGAAGAGTCCTGGGCAGGCCAAGGAGTCATTTGAAATTGAAGAGGTGAGTTCACAATATTGCAGCTACATGGTTCACCTTCAGAACATGATGCAGATGCACGCGTGGATCACTCTGGTAGCATCACTGGAACTGCAGGACCACCACTCAGGAGCTGATCTGAGAGGAGAAGACGTTTCAGATCAAACAATAATAACATTTATGAAATACAGTCAGAAGGACCACATCCTGAGTTTAGTAACGTCCACTTCCCAAGCAGAGAAACACACGGTACTGCCAATAATCATCAAACACGAGGCTTCTAATGAGTACCGTTAGTAAATAATAATAACCCAACAACACACGATACATAGACAGCATGTGAATGAGTGAATGCAGGACTGAAGATGGCAGTAATATCACACAACATGTAAACTACCTGCTGGTCATCACTGATAATAAATTAAACTAATGATACATTTAGAATGGCTTCAGAGGGAGGATGCCATTTATAATTTTTAAGTTCACCTGTTCAGCAGAAGGACAGGTGGAGTGACTTCCAGTGCATGGAACAGCTGCTGAGTCAGTGAGACAGAGAGCCATTTGCATCCCAGCGACTGTTATCAGAGAAGTTCAGATCAGCATCCAGCCAGTCACGGCTCTGCTCGTCTCACGGTTCGCAGGTTTAATGACGTGGCTCCTCCCCCAGTCCTCCTTATGACTCCCCCTCTTCACACCTTTACCTCTGGATCTGCTTTCAACACCATTTCTGCCTTTTTTACTGTCCATTCACTTCCCTCCACCTTCCCCCATCCCGACCACCTGGCACTGTCTCACCTGAGCGCCTCCGCCCCAGACAGCACTCACCAAGGGTGGAGGGACACCTCAGTGTGACGCTCCAGAAGCCCAAACACAGAAGCTCAACATGCAGCACACGGGGAAAAAGGAATGCATGACATAAACGGCATAAATATTTGTTAGACCTAAACATGACATTACAGTGACTCCACATGTGGATGACGTTTGACCGTCTGACCACAAACTGTCAGTCAAATGCTGCTGTACTGAAAAGAAACCACAACACATGCATCGAGGTTTGTTCATAACAATATGATGATCATTTGTCTTTGTTTATCAGAGGGGGTCAGTGGGCTCTGGTTCTCTCTGGAACACTTCAAGCCAAGGACACAGTGTCACCGTCTGACCAGCGTCTGGTTCTCTATCTGTTCATTAGATGGTTCCGCTGATAGCTCTGACTATGCCAGACTGTTCTCTGATGTTTAGTCAGCTGTGTCCGCGTCCTTGTACGATTTATTAATCTGGTATTCTTTCATTTTGATTCTAGATCCACAGCTTTGATGAAAACAGCGTAAAATGGAGCAACACTGGAGGAGAACATCTAGGTTGGTCAATAAGCACATGCTGTTCCTTCATGATGCTCCAGCAGGTGGAGCTGTGCAGACACAGAGCATGACTACAGCTTCAAACCTTCTCCTTCTCCTCCGTAGATATGTAGCCCAGTCCATGGGAACATACACATGAACATCGTTTTTAGACATTTTCATCATCAGTCAAAATTCTGCCATGATGCAGAAATATGAAGTCAGTAGAGGCTGTGGTCATGTTTCCATCAGCATCACCTCCTCTCCTCTCCTCTCCTCTCCTCTCCTCTCCTCTCCTCTCCTCCCCTATATATTCTATGTATATATATCTATATATCTTTGAAACCTAACACATTCTACTTTGGGCCGAGACACACTGAATGCTGAGCTTGTGATTGTGATGTTTCCCCGGTTGCTCCTCAGTGCACAGTGTGATCCGGTCCAGCAGCCTCCAGTCAGACAGCAGTGGTTTTGTAGAGGAGCCCTTCGTCCCGTCCATCCCTCAGCCGGCGGCACCAGGACCTGATCCCATCCAGGTTTTCTAAACGACCAGTGCACGCTCAGTCCTCTCACAAGCCTCCAACGTTATGGAAATGCAATAGCAACTCACTAAAACCCTGAAAGTGACTCACACCAGCTACAGCCGTCCTCACGTGTTCAGAACTACATTCAAACACAATCACACATAGAAACATTATATAAATATATTAAAGTTGGGATTTATAGATTCTCTGGATGCTTATTTATCACAGCATGAACATGAATGAAGGATTTGATACATCAGTCTAAAACTTTACAGACACTGTTTTAAATATCCATAATTTAGTATTAAAAATAATTTTTAAAAAAAGCCACTTAGAGAAGGTCAAGCAGGAGCCCCTGATTACTTTAGAATAATGATTTAATTAGTACTTGGATGTGTGATTGTCTCGTTTCATCTGTTTCGCTGCAGGCTCCGTCGGCCTCGTCAGGAGGAAACGGCCAGAGGAGCGAGGCTCAAGGATCCTCTCCTTCTTCTCCTTGTGCCTCCCCAGATCCCCTCCTGTCCTCATGTCAGACCTCCTCTGCTGGTGATAAGGACCTCCCTTCCTCAGCCGGTCCTTCACCAGGTCCTTTACCAGTCTTTGGCTCTTCTCATTCCCCTGCCTTGTTGGGTCTCCCAAAATCTGAGCAGCAAACTGCGCACACAGAGACTCTACCGGATCAGGAACAGCCTCCTTCTTCTTCCCTGTCTGCACGGCTGTGTGAATACATCCCTCCTTGCAGCTCCACATCCAAACTACAGAACATAACTCACTGCAGACCTCCAGGTTACCCCTCTCCTGCCTCATTCACCCCCGTCGCCCCGACCTCCTCCCCTGTTAAAACTGTGGACACAACATTTCCTTTCAGCTACCCCTCTAGTCCTTTCCATGACTCTGAAGGCACAACTTGCTTTACATATTCAAGTGTGCCTCATCCTGACTCGTACTTCATGTTTTCTGCACAGTCGAGCTCCTCTGGCAGTCCATGGAACATACGTCCAGAGTGGACGGAGGTGTCTTTGCATGATAAGCTCATCTCTGCTTCCGTTTGTTTGTCCTTCCTGTTTCCCTCCTCCCCTGATTTACCTCCCTCTGCCGTTCCTGGTTTTCATTTTCCACCTTCTTTAGCCTCTTCCTCATTAATCGAGTCCGTTTCAAACAGTCTAGAAAACGATCCAAATGAGTCTATTTTCCTAAACTCAGACAGAAGAGGTTTCTCTGATGCACCAAAGGAAGATGATGAAGAACCCTCTACCCTCACCTCTCAGTCGGACATGGACAGGCCCACCGCTCCATCCCCTCTTGATCTGGGTTCTTGTAAGTTAGAAGAGGGCTGTCAGAGACCGGCCGTCCTTTCTACTGACCAACACATTCCATGTTGTCAGCCTGCCTTGTCCTCCCAAACATGTGAGTCAGATGGTCTCTCAGATTCAGCTATCGGAGGATCTGTCGACCTGACAGAGCAGTCCATCACCCAGCAGCTCAGGACACTCCATGGTGACAACACACACCCTCTTCCAGTCCCTCTGATCCAAGATGGTGTTCACGTTCAGATCGATCATATCTCTTTGGACTCTGGACCTCGGACTCACTCACATGACACTGTTTGGAGGGCTGGAAGGCAAGAAGGAGAGCGTGAGAGACACCCAGTGGAGACTGAAGACACAGGTGTTGACGTTTCAGATACAGGAAGTTGTTCTGCTCTGTCAGAAGGTTCGATACCATTCAGCCAGACAGATCCCTGGGTCCCCCCATGCAGTCTGCGTGATGAGCTTTTGGCCAAAACTCAACAGGAACAGTTTGGAGATGTGTGTCAAATGGAAAATGAAGCATCTGAAAGTTACATACGGTTAAATGATCACGTTCCAGATGGAAGCAGCAGACCTGATGTGAAACCAAATGATCTCAATGGCAGCTTAGACGTGGTTTTTGAAACCTCAGTGGATAGCTCAGACTGTGAATATGCAGACATGGAGGCTTTCTTTCAGCAGCTGGATAGTGAAGGGCAGGTGTTTTGGGCAGAGCCTGTCCAGGTGTTGAATCCGTCCCCTGTGGAGGAAGAGTCCGGCAGCTTCGACGTCTCAGACAGACATCACAGGACTTCCTCATTGCCTAGAGGCCCTGCTGCTCTGGGCTCCTTCTCATCCACAGACAAACCCATGCCTTTATCTTTGTCAGTCCCATCTCTGTCCGTGACCCAAAGCGTCCAGCCGTCCAGCCGCTCTGCTTCTGCTCAGATGTCTTTATTTCTGCCTTCTCATATTGCACACAGGAAGGATGTTCCCTTCGTCACTGAGTCTAAACACTCCATTTCCTGTGCTGCGCTCCCATTGGACACCTCCACACCCTTCCGTGCCGTCCAGTCATGGACAGACCTGCATATCCACCAGAATGCTCTCACCAAGAACTTATCACATGCAGCTAATCATACTGGACCAAACAGTGTGAACACCTCCACGAGTCTCCCAGAAACACCTCAGAGACCTGCAGTAACCCTCTCTGTGCCTCCATCTTCTCCTGACCACTGGCAGTCCCAGGACTCCATCAACAAGACGGCTGGAAACTGTGAAAGTGTTTCAGCCTCTGTGGATGCAGGACTGTGGCCTGGTGAACGACACCGAGTGGACCAGAGCAGGAAAGAAGACGAGGAGAAGCTGTGGGAGGGCGACCATACAGCCGCCGTGGCATGCTGCTGTGATCATGGCTCTGCTCAGAAGAGTCCCAACCAGCAGCTCAGTCCTGTGAGTAAACCCACACTGTCCACAGCGTGTTCTGATTCCATGTTCACAGCTTCCTGGAATAACACAGCCTTCTGCTAGATGCTGCTAAAACTATTTCAGAATCGTGAAGGTCTGAGAAAATAAGACACCAATCTGACAAAAGTCAGGCCAGACTGAACCATGGGCCGGACTGAACCATGGGCCGGACTG